GGACAGAGAGAGACAGAGCATGAACGGGGGAGGGGCAGAGAGAGAGGGAGACACAGAATCGGAAACAGGCTCCAGGCTCTGAGCCATCAGCCCAGAGCCTGACGCGGGGCTCGAACTCACGGACCGCGAGATCGTGACCTGGCTGAAGTCCGACGCTTAACCGACTGCGCCACCCAGGCGCCCCACCATGTATTGTATTTTTAAGGGCTAGACTATAGATTTTTTCATATGAACATAACATTTCTGGAAGAATACCTGAACTTCTATGATTTCTTCTAAGGGATGAGACTGGGGTGGAGGATGGCAGGGGACTAGAGGTGTCAGATTTCTCTTTGGACCGTTCTGTATTGTTTCGGTTTTTGGTTTTGGTGGTTTTTGTTTTTATTTTAAGTATAAGCATATTATTTTTGTAATATAGATAATTACTTTAAAATTAAAAATAATGTATGCTGGTTTTTACTTCAAATTATAGGACTGGACTTTCCTAAATATCTTAGGGGAGATATAATTGTTATCCTAATTATTATTATATACTCTTCTCACTTCTAAGAGAAATTAAGAGCAATCCGAGGCTCCTTGTGGGATTTAACACTCTGTTAAAGCTACCAATGCAATTAATATGTGCTTGGAGCTGGTAGCAAAACACCGGGGCTCAAATCAGAGCAAGAAGGTGGGGGTTTCTGATGTATGCAGCCTCAGTTCTAATGGGTCAAACTAGGCTATACCCTGGCATCCCCTTCTTTGTCGTCTTTACTGGAAATATCTTGGACCTGGATCCAAGACCCCCTCAAAGCCAGGGCTTTCCCTTCTGTATATGGTTGGGCCTCCTGCCGGGCTAGGCCAGGCCACACACAAGGCCAGAAAAATCTGCTGAATTATATTGCATAGAAACCTGGATTCACAGTGATAACACTTCAACAGAGTTATGTTTTCCACAGGGGCCATTCTGAGATTTTGGGGGAATAATGGTGTGTCAGTGCTTGGGAAAAGCCAAGATGCTTTTTTGAGATTAAAATAATAAAATAAAGTAAAATAACATAGAATTCTCACTGTGCCTGTATTCACCAAATCTATTGCTTGGGCTGAAGCGAATTGGCTTCTTGTCTGGCTGAAAATAATGATGGCTTGCCTCTCTCATTTCTGTTGTTTGATAACAGAAGTCAGCAGGGCTGATACGTTAAAAATTCCAACAGAGTAGGTGGGGAGGAAGGTGAGGCCCAGGAGATCACGGCTTGCCCAGGATTGGAGCAGGATGGAAGCGGATCATTTGACTGGAAGGTCAGTCCTTCTTTCTCTTCACCTCGCACCTTACGTGGTGCTCCACTTAAGAGTGGTGTGGCTTTTCAGATGTTCTATTCTACTGATTCTCACCACGCCTGTGGGGCGGGCCGAGCAGACATTGTGTGCCCACTGAACACACAGGAAGCAGAAGCACAGAGCAGTGCAGAATTTACCCAGGATCACACAGCAAACTAAGGGCAGTGATGTGAACCTGTCTTGACTTTCTATCTAAATTTGTTCTGTGATTACGGAGCACTGGCACTGTATGTGACCTTATGAGGGAATCAGCAAATCTTGTCCTTCCTTCCCGAACCAGCTGCTGGTTCTCTGGAGCAATGCCTTCGCTGGCTTCCTTTTTCACAGTACTGTTTATAAAAAGGTCACTAGGAGAATTGATCAGAGCATTTTGGCATTAAAGAGCCTGTTCACGTTGTCGCTCAACACATCATCTCTACAAGGTCTCGCGTGATGAGTTCTTGATTGGGTTCAGATCCAGGAAATGACGTGTCTTTGATCATTGATAGACTTTCTTCCCGCTAGAGAACGTGACCGTTCAACTCTGCTGGTTTCTGTCTCGGCCAGGAGCCTCAACAACCGAGCAGGGACCTGACTCCAGTTATCAGTCATCTCTAGGGTCCTGTAAAGGCTTCTTTCCTCTAGACAGCCTTTGTTCTATCACTGAATGTCTTATTTCGAATTTCATTTTAATGTGTATAGCAGATGCCCACAGTTCCCTTGGAAGGAAGCTAGATATAAATCATTAAAAAACGAAGATTGGAGACAGTTTGCTCTGCAGCTCCCAAGGAAATCAGGGAAGGCCCATAGAATCTGGCCCTGGAGTTACTGGCTGTTCCCAGATCAGGGAGACTGAAACCCTGTGTGCTTGAGGACCGTGTGATTTCACTCCCTTCTGTGGAATTCTGTCTCTTTGCTCTGGGTCTGAACACTTTGCACAGTCGCTACAGTCACACTCTCTTTGACGTTTTTGGTTGGAATATAATTTTGAGATAACCTTCAAATTATCCACATTTTCTCTTAAAATGGCAAAAGCTACCTCCAAATGGATTATGTGGTATATTCATTCATAGACATGCAGAGTGGAACTTACAATATATAGGGTTAAATGCTTTGTGTTGCTTCTGTTTCTAGAACCTGAAATCTGGCCACTGTTTCTCTCCCTAAGGGTCTGGGGACCCAAGTTAAGATGCTGTGCTCCCTGGAAGGCCTCGCTTAGGGGGAGTTGGAAAGAAGTAAAAGACCAGATTCCTGCTTTCAAGGCACTTACAGGTTGGTGTGAGTGGATGTACTTGGGCAAAATATTGCAGAGGGGTTGAAAAGTATCCAAGAATATAATATGAAGTACAGTCAGCGTGAAAATTCTGGGGGAGGAGAGGCAAATGGCCTGCAGTGGCGAGTCTTGGGTTGGAGTTTGAAGGATAGGACAAGTGTGGGTTGTTGGAGAGTGAGGAGACGCCTCCCAGGCCTTGGAAGGTCCCCCCTGGAATGTCAACTCCAAGGGCAGGGGTTTTATCTGTTTTGTACATGGCTCATTTCCCAGTGCTTGCAACAGCATTCGGCTCAGTAAATAGTTGCCAAATGAATGACTAGTGAAAGCCATTCCAGGCTAGGAGGCCAAAGAGATTGGCTTGGGTTGGGTAGGAAGGTCGTTAAGAAAAGCCCAGTGATGCTTTGAGAAGGTAGTTAACAGAAAGGAAAATGAGCCAGACATTTACTGCTGTGGTTACTGCATGGAAGGCATCGTGCCCCAGGGGATACAAAGAAACCCAAGGCTCAGACCTCATCCTCCAGGAACTGGACTCCAGCATTCCTGATAACCCAGGTTGTGACAGTCTGAGGACTAGTGAGGACCTGAGACAGTGATGCCGAAGGGGCTTTGGGCAGTGTGTTGGGGCCGTGGGAGGGACTCGGGCGTACCTGAAAGCTGGTGGGTAAATCCTCAAGGTCTCTGCAATCACCATGTCCAGGTAGGGCAGGTGTTCCTGGAGGCTGCAGTAGTCAGGGGCCGGCTGATGGAGGAGTCGTGACAAAGGAAGAAAGTTGAGTTATACCAAGTCACACAGCATTCTGGCTTCTCCATTAGCTTTACAGTCCCGCTCCAACTCAGCAGACTCGGAAGTGGAGACGCCACAAAGTGCAAAGTCAGTTCAATCCAAACTGCACTGGGTTAGCACTGCGCATGTCCTGTTGTACTTGTTTCGTGGTGCTGTATATTACTGGGGACCCGCCGGACCAGTTTGGCACCTGGGGGTCTCTGAGTGTCAAAGAGATGTTTGGTTCCAACCCAATGACAGCAGCTTCAGCTGCAAGCATTTATTGAGGGAGGATGAGGTGGTGGCCACATATTGCATGCACACAACCTGACTTCCTCCTCCCTGCAAACCTGCGAGACAGCTGTTCTCCCATCTTTTAGAGGAGGAAACTGAGGCTCAGAGAGGTGGCCACATAGATACTAACTGGTACATCATAAAGTTAAAGGATGCATAGTGAAGTCACAAAAAAAGTTCTGATAACAGAAACTAAAGAGCTGTTTTAAATCAGTAAGAAAAGAAACTCATTGGGAAAATGGTCAAAGATATGAACAGGCAAAACATAGAAGAAGAAATACAAGTTGCCCTGATGAAAAATACAAATGAAAACGAGGAGATTCTGTTCTTCACTGATCAGATGAGGAAAGGTTGGGGAAAACTGATTAGATACTAGAGACTAAAGGTGTGGGAAAGCATGACCCAGCAGCCCGTGTTGGGGGGACACCGGTGCCCCTTGGACAATGCCCACTGGAGTGACACTGTCACCCTCACCCCTGGCCTGGGGAGGAGGGACACATGGGATATGAGCTGGGGAGCAGGATGTGAGTGGGAGGGTTAGGATGGGGTCAGGGAGGCTCATTCGCTGTTCTGCTAGGTTTCCCCAAATTCTCTCTCTCTCCCCACTCCCTACAGAGCCAAACACCTGCTTGGTGGGGGACAGCTTCATTTCTTTCAACCAGGTAGTCCTGATGCGAGAGCAGTCTTCAACTTGGAGATGTGCTTTCTCCTCTCCTCCCCTCCCAGAGCAGTAGAGGGCAGCACCAGGAGGGGGGTGGGCAAATCCATGCTGCAACCCCCAACTTTCCAGGGGTGGGCCCTGAGTGGCCTTGCTCCACCCTCTGGGAGCCATTCCCAGGCCTGCAGCTGGCCACATGGGATCTGAGCCAGTGGTTCTCAGAGAGAGAGCTCCCTGGATTGGCCACATCAGGGTCACCCTAGAAATGCAGATCCCTGCCTTCCCCCGCCCCCCACCACAGACCAGACCAGAAACGGTGGGGTGGGGCCAGTAAGGCATCCGGTGAGGGAGGGACTCCACTGGCGAGAGCAGGTGGGCAGGCCCTGTGTGGGATGTGCTTGGTTTGCTTGAGGAAGATAACACCAGGCCAGCTGGCTGGAGCAGAATGGGGACTCAAGGGGACAGAGGGGAGAGTGGTAGGAGATGGGGTCAGGGGCCAGGACACATGGAGTCTTGGAGTCCATGGTAAGTATTTTAGCTAATCTATCACTGAACAGCCATTCAATATAATGCAGCCATTCAACGATGTCTGTAGTATACTGTGGAGTAAAAAAGTCAAGTTACAGAATATGTGTAGTTTAATGTTTATAAATTTGGACGGCAAAGGAGGGGTTTCCATAGTAAAAAATAATAATGATTGGTTTCCCCAACTCACTCTCCTCCTCATTTCTGGGAACCTTCCTTCGGAAGGTTACCGCCAGACCCTATGTTTCCACCTCCACAGCAGACCGCCAGGGCCTGCTCAGTGAGCATGTGGCCCTTGAGAAGGCCCTGTGCTTGGAGCTTAACGCTCTTTGGTCGCCATCTGTGATTCTTAATCCTTTTACCTTCGAATTGGGACTTTGGAAGTAGAGTCTGATGGGACAGTGGAGGATGCGCCAGGGCTTGGAGCCTCACTTGTGTGTGGTCCCGCCTCTGGCCACCTCCCCACGACCCATTCTCAGCTGCCTGCTCTCCCGCCCCTGGTGCCTGGGGCCCAGCCTGGCCCCCCTCTCCCTGACGTGCCCTGTAACCACAGTTGCCCTCCTCCCCAGTCCAGGGCCCGGGCTCAGGCACAGAGAGGGTGGAGATGGGGTGCATGTATCCTGAGGCATCTTGAGTGGGCATAGTGGCAGCTGTGCCTGCCCTGGGCTGGCAGCATCATGGTGTGTGTCTCAGGGCTGGCCAGAGGCTGTGAATTGGCTAGGGCCAGCCTCTGCCCGCTTTTGGCCCAGGTACCAAGTGTGTCCTGGCACAGAGGTTTTAAAGATCTTTGAAGAGTCACAGTCTGCTATGGCGTTGGGGGTGGACCTGTGGGAAGGAGTGATGCCTGGCTCAAGTTCCCTAGACCCTGTCCCCAGCTGGGTCACATGCAGGGGTCTAGTGGCTAGCAGGATGGGACAGGACCCCTAAACATGCATGGGGGCCTAAGTCCCCAGCCCATTTGGTATCCCCGTGCCTGATGGTGTGCCCCCTTGGGGGAGCCTGGGGAACCCCTCTCTTCCTTCTAATCTTTAGTAGTTTGAATTGTGCTTGTTTCTTCTGGCCTGCGAGTCACAAAATACAAATTGTGTAATTTCAGTGATCCTGCATGTGAGTTAAATGCTCTGTGATAATTTACATTTAAAACCGGCATTGCATGATATAAAGATGAATGGTAAGATTCATGCTGGAGGAGAAGAAAAGAGAGAGAGCCTTTGTGTTTACCATTAATGGCACTTTCCCCGAGTTTTGAATGCGGGGCCCCCTATTTTCACTTTGTATAAAAGAATGACATAGTTGGCCCTGCGGGCCATGGTTGATTGGCCCAAGGGTGGGCCTCAGACCCAAGGGTGCAATTCTGGAAATTTGGATCTAGTGCAGACAAAAAGGAGTTTTTCTCCAGCGAGTGGAGGCTGAGCTCAGGTGAGTCATTATCTGCTGGTGACCATGTTCTGCCTTGTGGATGAATAAGCAGAAAATTCCAGTTGGCTGTGAGAAAGAAGAAATGAATTAAATGTGCAGAGGGAAGTAGAGGCAAATGACACAGGAAGAGACCATTTCCTGGTGTCCCCTAGAGTTCCAGTTTCTGTTTGCCACCCTCTGACTGGTCACTAGCCCAGTGGGTAGTGAATCAGTACCCTTACAGCATTTTCTCATTTATGGTCTAAGTTGGCAACAGACAAATTCTGTTATCTGCAACCAAAGGAGACTTATCAACATATGCAGAAAATGTAAAAAACAAACAAAAAAACCCGAAACCAAACCAAACAAACGAACAAAACACCAAACCAGACCAAACCAAACAAAACAAAAAACTAAAACCCCACGAAAAATGGTGGTACTGTGCACCAGAATACAGAACCATATTACAAAAAGAAAAAGAAACCAGATGTGGAAGCAACGTCCCTAACGGTAGATGGAATTGGTTCCCTGAACAAAATTTATGGTTTAGAAGCTGTCAGCATTTGTCAAAGAAAGAAAACTTTTAAAGGTAGGCTAAGGGAATTTGATGTGATCAAGTCACAGTCTTCATTATTCTTTCTCTGGATGAGCTTTTTACTGTGCTTCCAAGCTTTTGGCTCAAGATACACATGTAAACATCATCTCGGTCCCGCAGTTCTCCGCATGATGGAACGTTAGAAGCAGTGGGCCGACTTTTACTATATAAGGATGCTTGGGCCCTGCCCAGCCAGGGACTCAACTGTTGGTTTGAAGTGGGGCCTGGGCCCCAGTTCTTTCCAACCCCCGCCGTGGTTGTAATGTGTTGGGGGCTGAGACCACTCACTGCATTAGTCCTTCTGCGATCTACCCCCGTGATCCTTTCTGTGGGAGGAGTGGGCAGATGGGATGGAGGGAGGTTCACGCCTGCACATTTTAATCAAACCCAGGTAAGGTAATGAGGTTCAAATCCCTGTCCCACTGACAGACCAGTCTGCCCATCTGGACCTTTGCCTCGAAGTAGTTCTTTCAGGAAAATCAGGAATAAAGGGGTCCTACACCAATCATACCAGCAGAGGGCAGCAAGTGTATGGCAAATGGGGACTCCCTTGCGAGGCTGGGCCCCTACTCAGAATCACAAATTAAACTCCCAAAAGACTTAGGAATCATGAATCCGAATTTTTCATCATAGAGATGAGAAACAGGAGACCCAGAGAGGAAAACTGCGAGGCTAAACTCACAGCTAGAACTTGGAGTAGAAAGCTTATGTCCTTATTCATTCAGCAATCTCTCGATGCACACCTGCTGTCAGGTGCTGAGGATCCAGAAATGATCAAGTCTCTGCTCTTTGGGGAAGCCGACTTCTAAGCAAATCATTATACTGGATGTGGAATGTGCTGTAGGATGGACTTAGGAGGAACGGAAAACAGTTCGGTTTGAGAGTTCATTCATCCACTTATTCATTTGACACTGCTGAGCAGATGTGTACTCTTGGCCAGCCACTGTGCTAGGCACAGGGCACATAACTTTGACATACACTGACCTTCCCACCCTCTTGGACCTTATAGTCCGTCCTAGAATGCAAACCAATGGTGAGGGTTTCAGAGCCTTGAGCACAAGGCTCTGTGGAAGAACAGAAGGACGCACATCCCAGGCATTTGGAATCAGGGAAGCTAACAGGAGAAAATGAAGCCTAAGCCAAGGTCTTTATGATGGATAAAAAAGCCAGCGAAAAGTGGGTGGGCTTGTTTGGATGCGGGTTCGGACAAACCAATCTAAAAAAAAAAAATCCGTGAGTCCATCACAGGACCTTAAACCATGACTGGATATTTGATATACTTATGAAATTATGGTTTATTTGCTGTTGTTTTAACTTGAGAGATGGTGGGGAGGGGAAGAGAGAGAGAATCTTAAGCAGGCTTCACACTCAGCTCAGTATGGAGCTCAATATGGGGCTCCATCCCATGACCCTGGCTGGGATCATGACCTGAGCCAAAATCACAAGTTGGATGCTCAACCAACTGAGCCACCCAGGCTCACCAGTTCATTTGTTTTTAATGTGATA